GGTTGTTTGCTCAGGTGTGCCGCGGTCAAGGCGCGGCCATGCCATGTGGACCGATGGAGATGAAGGAGGAGAACGGAGGTCTGTCTGTCATACAGTCAACCATAGAGGAAACCTCGTGTCTGCTGTCACTGAAAACAGAAGCAACAATTCATGGCTGCGGTGGCAGTAAAGTTTTACCAGATTGAGACAGAATTAAAGTTTCCAGTTTGGTGGCATGAGGGCTGGCTCAGAGCTGCTGGAGTGTGCCATGTTTCCTGTGGTTGTTCTCAGTGAGGCCTTTGCTGGAGTTTCCGTGGCTGCAGTCCAGAGTCGGATAGTAACTACCTACATTTACTCAGTTACATCTACTTGTGTGACCCTTTTGGGAGCAATGGGGAGGGGGTGGGGGGATGTACTTTCAGGAGTATTTTTTACTAAATTTTACTTTTTACTCTTACCTGAGTAAAGTTTCAAGAAACTCACCTACGGTTTTGTTGGTTTCATAAATTTTTCGTTGAAAGGAACTGATTGAAAAAAAATGATGTAATTATTATTAATGAACTATTTTCATGTTGATCTTTAAAATACTAAAATTTCCACATAACTTTGTATTTTAGTCCATCTGATTATGTAATTTTTAAATGTTAATTTATTTCTTTTATCAGTTCCTCAGTAGTTGAGTCAGGGTTTTTTTTTTAATACCAGATACTTCTGAGTAATTTTTTTGCTACTTTTTACTCTTACTTGAGTAAAACTTTTGGGTACTCTACTTTCTATTCTAGAAACTGACTGTCTCTCATTAAGTAGCCAGGGCACAGATAATCTTGATGTTTGCTCACCTATCAGACAGAGATGAGAACCTACTAATGAAATCGTTAAGTTTAAACCATTAAGACACTTTGCTGTGACAGATTCACCTTTTAACAGAGCGGGTATGAGAAGCTGTCTGTCTGTGACCCACATAGGCTATTGTCCACATCTGGAATAAAACAGGATGAGGTTTTTCTTTTTGCAGAGGAGGACGCCACAATTGATGGCAGGAGAGACAAAGTCGTGGTGAACCGCCAGTTCACCACATGGATGACCAAACTCCACCCTGCTTGTTCTCATTTCCAGCCTCTCTGCGCCTCCCCAGGGCCTCCCCCCTC